TCTGATCGTCCGGCTCAGATCGTCCGACGTTAACCGCGGCGACCTTGCTGCCACCGGTTCTGAAACCGATCGCCGTCGTTCGACGAATCTTTTCTTTTTTTTTTCTTTTTTTTTTTTTTTCTTCGATCGACACGCGCGATTTACCTGGTCGTCGGCACTGGGAATCCCTGAGCGCTGCACGCCAACACCACGCTCGTGCCCTGTCGTCTCGCGTATTTACTCAGACTGTCGTCGCTGGAGAAGATCGGCGACTTGAATCCAACCGGTTCTACGAAACACAACGACGCCCGGTCTCCAGCGTCTCTCCCACTTTGCACTTTCATCGTCACGCTAGATTCGCCTCTACCAGCTGGAGAAATTTCCAGCTGGACGAAGCGTGTGTCGGTCTTGGTTTCTAGGTTACCTGGTGGTTGGCACGGGGAATCCCTGTGCGCTGCACGCGAGAACCACGCTCATGCCCTCTCGCCTCGAGTACGCGGTGCTACTCAGATCGTTGGAGAAGATCGGCGACTTGAATCCGACCGGTTCTACGAAGAAACACGGAAGAGAACATTCCCTGGCGTGGAAGCTAACTCGGGTAGTGAGTGAACGAACGAAAGAACGCAACGCTGTCGCCCCTTGTTTGTCATCGTCGTTCGACCACTCGCGCTGGCAACCGGACTGCGGACCATAACGAGCGACCGAAAACCGTGTACAGTAGCTGGTCGCTTTCCTTTTTCATTTGGACTCGTCGGTATGACATCACCGACGACCGTATGATAGAAATTATCGAGCGGTAACGAATTTGTTATCTTTTTCGCCTTCGTGTTAACACTTAAATACACTTAAAGCTGAGGAAACGTTACGACTTTGGGGAACAAAACAATTCTCGACGTGCGTGGCACGTCACTCCAGCGCAAGAGGTTAATAAACGTGCGATATTTTTCGTGAGACACGCGAGATTACCTGCTGCTTGGCACGGGGAATCCCTGGGCGTTGCACGCGAGCACCACGCTCGTGCCCTTCCGCCTCGCGTATTTACTAAGGCTATTGTCGGTGGAGAAGATGGGCGACTTGAATCCAACAGGTTCTGGGGAAGATATCGTGACATACCCGGGGAATTATACAACGGAAGAGCGTAACTGAACCAGTAACTATAGATTTCATAAGTTCAACGAGAGATACAGTTAGAGAAACATTGTCCCAAGATTAATGTCAGATTCGTTTGTTTTCTCATTTTGCATGGTTAATGCCGAGTTCGTCGCTTGGTGTCAAGCTGATGTAACGATAAAGAACTATAGTCATCGGTCTGGCCACTGAATCAGAATCACTCGGAATTTTCAACGTTCTGCCTGCGTACATTATAAGTACAATTTATATATTTAAATTTCGTAAAATTATGAATTCTAAATAAAACTTTCCTTTCGTAGTACCAATATTAACAAACAGAATTTGTACGAATTGATTAAAGAGAATTGCAACTGACATGATACGACTTTGATCTTCAATTGAAATATCGTATACATAGATTGGTAATAATTATAATACATATTATTGTAGATTAATAATTATATAGATTAATAATTAATAATAAATATTATTTATAAATTATTTATTAATATTAAATATTATATAGATTAATAATTATATTTATATATTAATAATAAATATTGTATAGATTAATAATTATAATACATATTATAATTTTATAATATATCATGTATCGATATACGATACATATATTATTAATATTAATAATATCAACTCTTCAAGAACATTTGTGTATCTTGTTAAATTTCACAATCATATATAGAAATAAAATTGTGTATCTTGTTAAATTTCACAATCATATATAGAAATAAAATTCATATATTTAAATTTCGTAAAATTGTGGATTCTAAATAAAACTTTCCTTTCGTAGTACCAATATTAACAAACAGAATTTGTACGAATTGATTAAAGAGAATTGCAACTGAGATGATACGACTTTGATCTTCAATTGAAATATCGTATACATAGATTGTAATAATTATAATACATATTATTGTAGATTAATAATTATACAGATTAATAATTAATAATAAATATTATTATTTATATATTATTTTTTAATATTAAATATTATATAGATTAATAATTATATTTATATATTAATAATAAATATTGTATAGGTTAATAATTATAATACATATTATAATTTTATAATATATCATGTATCGATATACGATACATATATTATTAATATTAATAATATTGACCCTTCAAGAACATTTGTGTATCTTGTTAAATTTCACAATCATATATAGAAATAAAATTTATATATTTAAATTTCGTAAAATTATGGATTCTAAATAAAACTTTCCTTTCGTAGTACCAATATTAACAAATAGAATTTGTACGAATTGATTAAAGAGAATTGCAACTGAGATGATATAATTTTGATCTTCAATTAAACTTGTTCGTATACATAGATTGCAATAATAATATATTAATACATATTATAATTATATTATTAATATTAATAATATTGACTCTTCAAGAATATTTGTGTATCTTGTTAAATTTCACAATTATATATATATAAATCAACGTATAACCATTTATTATCATCGTTCATAAAAATAATCATTTAATTGCTATTTATCAATACAATTTAAACTTTATCCAATTATTATTATTAATATAATTTAAAACTCGTCGAAGATCATCCTGAAGCCTAAATTTCCCCCCGAAGAGTTGCTAAAGATACTTGCTAGAGGATTCCCTCAACCATTTTTCCCCAAATTCAATCCAAAAATTCACCTTCCCTCGATTCTTCTCGCACTCTCGATATTAACCGCAATTTGAAGAACCGAATTTGTGCAAAACCCAGTTGGCCGGTGATCCAATTATGCTCTCTCACGGCCGTGCACACAGAAACGAGTCTGGGAAAGCGGGCAGACCGAGTGAAATTCGAATTAACGGGACAGGCCGAACGCGATGGTCATTGGAAACCGACCATTGGGAAATTGTATCGACCGCGGGTTCGCGCGGCCGTCAGCTCGCGATTAAATATCCGTCTCACCTCGAAAGTGGAACAGGGTAACCTTGCACCGGACACGTCAAACACACCGCGCCGCTGGACCTCCCTTCCATGAACTCGACTTTACGAACGTACGGCAGTTTCGGCTTCACGCTGGATGTTGGCTCTGAGGAGTCACAGAGGGTTGGAAATTCATTATGCGCGCGCGCGAGAGAGAGAGAGATTCTTACTGACCGTGTGATGGGAACAGGAAACCCCTGCGCAGGACAAGTCATCGACACCGCGGTGGAGGTGGCCGTTGGTCTCACCACCTTTATGTCGGCGTTCGTGAACTTTGGTTTCGCGCTGGACACCGGTTCTGACCAAAAGAGCGGTTAACTGTACACGACTGGCCGAACGAATCGATTCCCTGACACTGAGACTGGGTGTACCCTTTTTTTTCTCAACGAACGTTAGCTGTGTGTCGTCTGTTCTTTCGCGGCTTGTTTCTTTTTTGCACAGAACCTTTTTTTGTCTTTTTCGAATAGAAATATTAAAATATTAAAATATTAACAATATTGTGATATGAAAATAATTGAATATAAAGAAAAGAACGGTATAAACGACAAGGTAATAAAAGAAACGTGTGTGTGTGTGTGTGAACTGATGACGGAGCTCGTGCGAACTACAGGATCGTTAGGTCGGTTAGTCGAATTACGCGTACACAATATTATATTCGGGTAGCTTCACCGTTCATCAACTTGCCTCGAGGTTTACCCTACGATTCTTCGCGTACCTGAAAACCGGAACGGGAAACGCCTGGGCCGGACAGGGTAAAGTCAAAGCTTCATCACGTTGCACCGTGTATGTGATATAGGCTCGCGAATTCTCCGTCATTGGAAATTTCGGCTTCGAGCTGCCCACTGGTTCTAAATACCAGAAGAAACGAATCGCCACTGGTGACTAGAACCCTGAACATGCCAGTCGGATCGACAGAAAAGAACGAGCGAGAGACGATAAAACGATTAAACTATTCGCGAAAGATCGCGAGCTCAACAAACCTGGCGCCACGCTTCGATCGCTTCGAGCACGTTGCATCGCGAAGAAAACGAATCGAGAGTTGCTGCGATTCGTACGTTTTACCTGAATGCTGGCACTGGGAATCCTTGAACGGGGCACAACAAGGTGGTAACGGTACCTAGCATCGCGCTAGGGTTCGTCGATTTCACGTCCAGCGCGGTTAATTTCGGCTTCGAGCTTGACAACGGTTCTGCGAATCGAACGCGAGCCGAGCCTCACTTAAACGACAGTTTTCCGTGTTTTCGGCGGACTTACTTGAAGACCGGGACAGGATACGCCTGGGCGGGACATTGCAACGTGGTACCTTCAACTTCCGGAACCTCGAACGCCCGGCTCTTGTCGATCGTCGAGAATTTCGGCTTTGCGAAACCGACTGGTTCTAGAAAAAGGTTCGTTCGAGAAGTCGAGAAGAAAACTCTTCGACTTTGTTCGCGAGATCGCGGATATACTGTTTTTGATTTTTCTTGTTTCTGAAAGTTTCAACTTTCTTGCTCTCTAGATCCCTTCGTTTGTTATGGACTTAACCCACTTGCGTTGGCAACTGGACTGCGGACCATAACGAGCGACCGAACCGTGTACAACAGTTCATCGGTGTGACACATCACTGGATAAAAATTATCGAGAAGTAATAAATTTATTATTTGCCTGGATTATACTTAGATATAATTGAAACTGAGAAAATATTGATATTTTAGGATGAAAAAATCCTGCGAAAAAAACGTGCGTGTCATTCCAGCGCAAGAGGTTAATTGAAGATTGAGAATACATTTATACAAGATGTTGCAACATTACGCGCTGAAATTCTGATAACTAGTAAGAAAGTTAGTAATTTCTTTAATTTTACTGCCAAGTCACGAATCATCGTTCCAACTTTCCTTTTCTCTCTCTCTCTCTCTCTCTCTCTCTCTTGAAAATGAAAACCTCTTCTTCGTGAACTTACTTGAAAACTGGGACAGGATACGCCTGAGTAGGACACTGCAATGTACCGCCCTGAGCTTTCGAAATCTCGACCGTTCGGCTCTTGTCGATCGTCGAGAACTTTGGCTTTGCGAAATCGACTGGTTCTAGAAAAAGAGACGACCTCTTGGAAGAGCGAGAACGAGAGGACTCCCAGAAGAAACGAAAACCGATCTACGCGTCTCGTTCGCGGACTTACTTGAAGACTGGGACAGGATATTCGAACGTTTGATCTTCATCGATTATCAACTTTGTGAGATCGACTAGTTCCAAAAAAAAAAAAAAAGAAGGACAAACGCTTTTGGAAGGATGATTTATATCTAAAGCAAGAAGAATCCTTGAATTTTGATGCCAGGTTGGAATTTTATTCCAACTTTTTCATTCCCATTGTCGAAATTATTGGAGAAACGAACCGATTCTTTAGAGAACACGTTTCTCACGAAGCAACTTGAACATTCAAATAAATCTTCGTGGAATATTGCAACGTTGTGTTCCAAGAAGTTTGATACTGAAATTGACTAGTTGTAGAAAAAGACAGAGGTCCCTCGAATTTTAATGCCAGAGTACTGTTTACTATCATTCCAACTTTTAGTATTCTCATCATCAAAATTATAGAGAAAACGAACCAACTTTTTAAACAAACATGATGATGTCTACACGTCTCTGAATATTGCAATGTTGCAATTTGCCAGACTGATTGTCTCTAGAAAAGAGCAGTTCAAACTCGAACCAAGAAGATTCCTATGTCCAACTTTTCTATCGTCATTCTCCGATTTAGAAACGAGATTCAATCTTCTCATCAGAGAGTACGACGATCCGCACGCGCCTTCTTCGTGGACTTACTTGAACACTGGGACAGGAAACGCCTGGGCGGGACACTGCAACGTTTGGCTCTGAGCTTCCAGGATCTCGTACGTTCGACTCTTGTCAATCATCGAGAACTTTGGCTTCGCGAAGCCGACTGGTTCTAGAAAGAGGGACGATGTTTTTCTTTTTTTTTCGGCGGATGCAGAATCATCTCGACGTTTGGTTCGATGATATTCGTCGCTTCGTTTCTCGCACAAGTGTTACAAGTAAAGAAATACGCGAGGTTGTTGAAAAACTGTTTGAATTTTTACAAACTGCTTTCTAATGTAACAAGCAGTATGTACATTATACTGTGAATCAAATTGATCATGCATTCGCCACGTGTGAGTGTCTTGGAAACGATCGAAAAAAAAAAACCAATAAATTCCCAATAATTCCACATATTCCTTCAAGTTCATCTTGCGACTGACAATCGTCATTAATTGTTTTCACGATTTGAAGTTTCTTTCAAAAAATATTAACTTGCCGATATTTTTCAAACAATGCGTCAAAGATATTAAACTCGAGGCAACGAATGATTTAAGTCGAATTTCTTTTGATTTAATTGAAAGTGAATCAGAATTGGTTTCAGGATTTGGAATATTATAGAAGATTATTTACTTATATCTTTTCATCTGAATATATAAATTTATTACAAGAATAACTTTGGTAATAATTTTTTATGATTTTTTCACTGAAATATTTAATTTAATTTATTAAATATAATTAATTTAATATTATTAGTTATAATTCGAGGTGTTTTATCTCGAATTCGATATGATTATTTAATATATATATATATATGTTGAATAGAATTATTAATTTTAATTTTATATCATTTAATTTATTCAATAATTATAATTAATTGATTTTTATTAAATTAATAGAAAATTTTATTTCTATAATATGAATTCAAATCATATACTTTATCAAGTTCATTAATTAATAATTTTTTATGATTGAATCAAACAAATTATTCAACATAAATGAAAAAATATAATAACCAAAGTATAATATAGTAAAAAAAAATTATTTAAATTTGTAAATGGATATTCAATTATTTGTATGCCTAGTCATGTTAATATAATAAAGATATTAATAAATATGTTAATACAAATATTTAATATATTATTAAATAATATAATATACATTAATTAATTATATATTATATACATTAAGATATTAATAAATATATATAATTAATTATATATTATATATTAAGATATTAATAAATATAAAGATAGTAATAAAAATATTAATTAACATTACATATTCAATATAAAATTTGATTAAATGGATAAAATTTTTTATTTAATTATTATTTAACGAAGATTTTTACTTAATTATTTTTTATTTAATTATTTTTATTTAAGGTTTTTATTTAATTATTTTTTATTTAAGGTTTTTATTTAATTAAGGTTTTTATTTTTATTTAGGGTTTTATTTAATTATTTTTTATTTAAGGTTTTTATTCAATTATTTTTTATTTAATTATTATTTAACAAAGGGATTTGTCACGCTGTACTATCGTTCCGTCTTTCTTATTCTCATTGCTTCTCCGGGGAGAAGTTCCACGAAGTCCACGGATTCCGGTTTCGTCGACGTGCCTAATATTCTGGGACAGGGTGAGGCCACGGACGGGAAAAGGAAAAGAGAAAGGGGCGAGAGGCCTCGGACTATTTTTCACCGCGACGCGTATTTTCATACACACACACACACATATATTAACTTGACTACTATATCGACCTACCTAAACGCGGCGACTGGAAACGCCTGTGCAGGACAAAGCAACGAGATGCCCGCGCCTTTCGTTACCCGTAATCCGACGTCGTTCACAGATGGAAACTGTGGCTTGCTGCTCGACGCGGGTTCTAAAAACAGAACGAGCGAGACATAGCAGCCCCGCGGAGGTCGCGCGTAAAGGGGAAGCTACGAAGAAGAAGAAGAAGAAGTGTCTTTGAATATGCTGGAATAGGGGCTGCCCCTTTACGCCTCGTCGAGAGCGAGCCCGAAAGAAGGTTTCTTTTCACGGACGCGCGATTACACGCGTCCCCCTTGCCGAAAAAGAAAAAAAAAAAAAAAAAAAAAAAAAAACAAAGAAAGAAAGAGACTCCGGATAGAAGCTCTTTGAATAGAACGGACCAGTAGCTATCGAAACGAATCGAAAGCTCATCAAGGTTACGAGATGCTCTCTTGTTGTTGTTCCCCACCGACGAGTGAGAGCCAGTCTCTGGTGCTCACCTATAGATGGGGACTGGAAATCCTTGAGCGGGGCACAAAAGGGTGACGCTCTTTGACGAAGAGGCGCTGAATCGTAGGAGATCGGTTGGTCCGGATATTTGCGGACGTGCGCTGGATGCTGGCTCTGGTGGAAAATATCGAATGACACGCGAGACGAGAGCGAAGCAATGAGAGAGCAGAGGGTGTGTTACCTGCGTTGGAACGAGGGACCCTCGGGCATCGCATCACCCAAGTGCCATTTTTATAATATTTCTAACGCCGATTCGTTCCGGCATAAAATCGCAAGATCTTCAAGCGATCGTAATACGAAAAATTAGCTCGGAATTTTCGACGTCTTTCATACTCGTCTTGTTGTTGGTAAATTTTTAAAAGGCTTGAAAGGCTACAAAATTTAATAGCAGGGAAATTTAATTGTTGGATGACCAACTTGAATGCCAATAATATTCTTCACCTAAAAAATTTTTAATTTTTAATTTAAATTTATTGAAAATATATAAACGTTATTTGTTATTAAAATATTCATTTCGGGTTTCATTTCGTTAAATATTAATTTAAGAATAATTTTAATTTTTACGAATTAATTTACACGAATTCCGAGTTTAACGAATCAAGCTCAACGATAGCTATTTTGTACTCTTCTTGTTGGTAAAGTTTCAAAAGGCTTGAATAAAATTTAATTGCAGGGAAATTTAATTGTTGGATGACCAACTTAATGCCAATAATATTCTTCACC